TTCAAGCCAGTGCATCCTGTGATTAGCCGAAGATTGACTCGATAACGGATACTGATGCGGAAATAAGAAATAAGATAATGGTCTCCCAAGGCACAACACACCTATAAGGCACTAAGGTGACATTCCATGAAGTCATGGAACTCAATGAGAACTAACGTGGAAGAAAAAGATTAGAAAAAGATCAAATAAGGCCCCAGGGGCAAAATAGTCTTTTCACATGGAAACAATGTCCCTAGGATTGTATATCATTCCCAAGACTCATCCGTGACTTCCCATGAAGTCACGGAACTCAAAAGAAAGTAGCAGAAGCAAATGAAATGAAAACCGGACAAATTTAGCCCTAAAGACAAAATGGTAATTTTTTGAAAATAAAGAATCGGCTGCTATCGAGCACACGACTAGAAAGACAACGAAAAACTAATCAGGATGGACTCAAGGATCACATGATTCGAAATCCGGACGAAAGAGAAACGACAAAACAAGGAAAAATGAGTAAATACGGCAAAAGGGTAAATTGGTAATTATCCAGGAAGATCTGGGTGCAACCGAGCACACCGTTGGATAGTTGATGAAAAAATAATTGAGTTCAAAAAACAATTCATCCAAATCGGAGTCCGGACGAGGGAGAAACGAGCGAATGAAGTTCGGTTGATGAAGCGGCAATGGGCCAAGGCAGCCCCACAAGCACGTGCGCGCGTAAAAAGTTGCTGGGGCAGCCCTTTGGGCTGCTGTGCAAAAATTAATTTTCTGCCAGAACTAAGAGTCGAAACGAGATCCGAAACGAATTTTTCTGGAAAAACACGAAGAAGAAAGCCCCCCTAAAATAGAGTTTTCTACCCAACATCATGGAAGAAAACGAAAAAAACACTCTTTGAAATCTCCAAAATGCCCCTAGATCAGAATAGGTCAAGAGGGTCAAAAAGCTGCTACATGGACTTTTTTGGAATCTTCCAAAACAGAGAGCAAAAACGGGGCCTTTAACGACATTTTCTGGAAAACACGAAGAAGAACCCCCCCTCCCCACGCGGAAATTGAGTTTTCTGCCCTGCTACACGGAAGAAAACAAAAAAAACATACTGTGAAATACCCAGAATGCCCCTAAATAAAAAAAAGGAAAAAACTCAGAAAATGCAACTTTGCACCAAGTATGCATTTGACCCTAAATACATTTCTAGGTTGAAACAAATGTGTACGCAAGCGTAATAAATTATTTCAAGCGCGTGGGAAAGGTTCGCGGTTCCCGAGAAAACCCGATTCAAAATCCAACCCCCCGACGGCAAAAAATGGCTAAAATGGACTTGGAATCAAAATTTTGAAATCCGAAAATATGAAATAGTTTCAAATTACCGTTTGGCCCTTGGCCACACTTCATACATGACTAATGAGACCCTATGAAAGAATAAAAATGGGAATCCCACACCCGATGCAACCATGGTGAAACTATAACTTGTCATTTTTTCAATATTTCCAATAGCCCCAAACCACAGGGGGAGTAATTCATGATTACTCGTAGGAAATGAATATGCGTATGACCTAAAGGTTTAAAAATTTTGCATGTTGATATAACTCATTACATGTGGACCATACCATCTAGAATCTAAGTCAAGTTGCTTGTATTGGATCATTCCTAAGTCGTGAAGTATAGAAGAACATGAAACAAGATATCTAAGGAAATTAATAAGATTGAAAGAATTCAATTCACACAATAAGGATAAGCATGAAATCAAGAATAAATCATAATGTCTATGCAATTAAACAAGGTTGGAACATTCCAAATAACACGACAAGGTTCTTAGATCTTCAAGGAAAACACTTGAAATCTAAGGGTTTAAATCAAACAATGTGGATACTCGGATATCGCCTGGATTAGAACCGTACTCTTAGGATCCCTTTAGGGCTACTAACCCATGGGTACCTTCCCTTAGTGCGCACTCTATTGTAGGGAGCTCTCTATCTCCCATATTAGAACCAATTCCTAACCATGTCAAGTCTTGATTAATATCGCCGAGTTTCCATTATCAACAAGTTGTGCATGTCCAGATAGTATCAAGATACAAGTAATGTATTAAACCACATTCCATACACAACCAAGATTTTGGAACACACAAGTCATGACCTAAGTTTTCAACTATAATGGCATGTGAAATGTCAAGAAATCATAGTATGCATCTATATAGATTACAAACTAGGATATATAGCACATAGAATCCATTGATGTAAATATACCACTAGTATAAGACACATGATTTAATTATTTTTCTAGCCATACATGAATAATTAAATTACTTTAAGACAATTGTGCAAGTTCATTAACAACATTAGTGAAACCAAGATACAACAAGTCATGATGCATGATAAAAAGGCAAAAGCCCCATAAAATACAAGTCCAATCCATTGGACCACTAAGTAGAAATTAATTAACCTAATTAATTAATTTCTCTAAAAATCAAAGTTGTCCAAAAATTCTCAAAATAATATATGTGAATGTCCATTCTATGGTGATTGCAAATATCACATTAATTTCACAAAGTGAGCAAAATATAAACATGTGGAATTTAATTAATATAAACTAATTAAATTATAAATTTTCAGAAGTTGCTAAAAAATTTCCAAAATATTATATAGCAAGGGTTATACAGAAATCATCATATATTTCATATCAAAAGTAAGTTACATGCAAGTTAGAATATATCATTAATTTTTCAAACTAATAAATAAACATGCATATAACTTATTACTACAAAAGTGATTAAGCCACTTAGATAATAAACATAATACATTCCCTACCTTACTAGAAAAAAGTGTCTTTAGAATCCAAGGCTAGCAAGCTCCAAATGATCTACCCTTTAAGGGTTATGTAGAGGAGAATGAGGGGAATCAAAAGTATTCCCCAAGGTAAGGCTAGAAATGAGTGGAAGGCTCCAAAAATCAAGGCTTTAGCCTAGGCTTCAAGGTGCTCTAATGGAGGCTAGGGTTTTTGGTGAAGGAATACAAAGGAAATAAGGTGTGATAAAATGTGAGTGAAGGAAATAAAAATCATTTACTCACTATGTGGTCTTACACCAAAGTCAACACATACAAGAATCGACAATTACATTAAAACCCCTCTTTAATGTAAAAATCCCAAAGTGGCCTAAAAATATTTGTAAGTAGGTCCTTCCTCTAAATATCTTGCAAACTTAATTGCAAAATGGTCATTAAGACATAAATAATTACTTTAAGTAAATACAGAAAAACCCCCAAAAAAAAATAAAAATTTCAAAGAAGTGTACATCCACACCCCTAAGGAAGAAAATATACTGATGGCATGCATTTTCAAGAAAGTAAAAAATACATATCAATGAAATCATGTATCATGAGTGCATGCAAAAGTGGAAGCAAAACCGAACACAAAAGGTGAGCTTACGCGAAAGAAAATGCTAACCGGAAAAGAAATAATTAAATAAAAAAATAAAATAATAATAATAATAAAAAAACAAAGTGTGGAAAAAGGTGAGGAGATGACACGGCCCTCACAAGGAAGAGTGTTGAGATCATTCCCGAGCACTCAAAATGACATGAAGGGTTAAAACCCGAACTTTACAAAGAAACTTTAACGGAAAAAAAATATTCTGAAAAAATGGAGGAAAATAAAGGAAGGAAAATGACTGGGTCATTACATTTAAGATCAACCCAAACCTACCTAACTCGTGGCATGTTCGAATCGTGTTGGCAGGTTGTGTCATCCCTAACTTAAACTGAAGCAAATTGAGATGATGTCAAAACCAACACAATATTTATCTTATTGTAAAAGTCTGTATATAGACTTAGGACATATTAAAAATACTCATTTTTAGGGAATATCAATAATCTTTATATTTCAACTTTTACAAAATAAATACGTTCATTGTTTGTCCTCTCCATATCTTGACCAATTAAATATTTGTGCTGTTAGTTTCATGTTATATATATATATATATATATATATATATATATATAATCTTGAGATTGTATATATTTTTAAAAGCAATTTGCTTTATAAATTTCCTAAATATAATTTTTTACCAAAGTAGTAATTTTTCGACAATAATACATAGTTTTATTTATTTTATTTTATTTTATTATCAGAGTAGTGATATTTCGACGATAGTGAATTGGTTGTTGCTGAAGCCAAAATAGATGCGATGAAAATGTATGGTGACTTCAATGTTGTTGAGAGAGAAAGAGAGCTGAGAGAGGAAGGAAAAGAGAGATTTTCTTTCCTATTTTGTTTTTTCTTACATCAGCAACAAGGGCAATTTTAGGGTTTTAATAAATAAAAAAAAATTGGTCAAAATTGATGATTAAAAATAAGTGTCGCTTTCCTTTTTTGTCTGTCCCAAAAGAATAGTTCACTTTCTTTTTTCAAACAATATATTTTACATTTATTTTTTTTTTTTTTTCCATATATATCCTTTGAGTTTAAAATTTTAAACGTGAATATTCAAAACTTAAAATAGGGATGGCAACGGGGCGGAGTTGAGGTGGAGTTGGCTAAACCCTACTCTGCCCCTTTAAAAAATTAGTCATACCAACTCCGTTCCAACTCCGGGACGAGTTTATAATTGGTATACAATCCCCGTCTCAACTCCGGTAAACAAAATACCGACTCCGTCCCACATACTCCGTTTAATTGCGATAGAGTTGAAACTGTTGAATTAATTCCTAGACTTAGGATAAAATACTAAGATCTTGAATCCTTAATTGATTCTTGAAGATTGAATCATGTGTACAATTATGAAATTTTAGTAAGTAGTGATTCTAGTGAATATTTAGTCAAAATATATTAATGGACACTTAACTTATATATATATATATATATATATATATATATAATCGGGGTCGGGGCGGGGGTGGGTTGGGGGCATTACTAAATCCGCCCCCGCCCCAAACCTGCTTAGAGTTTTCAATTCTTTTACTACATCCGTCCCAAACCCATTTATGGAGCTACCAAATCCGTCTCATTTTGAAGTAGAGCGGGACAGAAACCCAGCGGGTTGGAGGAAATTGCCATCCCTAACTTAAAAAGATAATTTAGTAATTTTTGAGACAGACAATATATAGCTATCACATGTCCCCTTAAAAATTACACTCCTCGTAAGCTACACTTAAATTGAGACGGAGGAAATAATATTTTTTTACACTTAACCAAAAAAAAAAAAAAAAATTCAAGTTCAGGTTTTCCGTTAGGATTGGGTCGAGTTTGATCGGACCCACCCAGTTTCTTAAACCCGTCTTTTATTCTTGCTCTCACCCTCAAACAAAAACCCACGCCACCATCTAGGGTTTCTACCGTCTCTGTCTACTCTTCTCTCTCTAGAAAACCGTAAAATCTTACTAGTCGGCCGTAGTTCGTTCTCGGAAGAATTTAGGGTTTTGTTTGTTCAAGCGACGAATTGCAAGAAAATGTCAGATTTCTTACCTCTTGATATGGTGATGGACATCCTCACTAGACTACCGGTCAAAACCCTCATCCGATGTTCTTGTGTCTGCAAATCATGGTATTATTTGGTCACAAACCCTAGTTTTATCACCAAACACCTCAACACAAACAACAAAAACAACCTTCTACTAATTCGAAGGTGCTCTATTAAAGCCCTTGTCAAAGAGCACTACTCGGTACTACGTTGTGAAAACAAAATCTTATGTGATTATGCAGAGTTTGAGATCCCAGTTTATGGCTTTCTAAACAAATATTTTAGGATAGTCGGTAGCTGCAATGGGTTGGTATGCCGTTACAATGATTTGCCCTATTACAGTAACGATATTTACCTATGGAACCCGTCCATTCAAAAGGCAATGACCCTTCCGCGCCCTCGTATCACATCTCGATCAGCCGTTGCTTTTATGCAGAACATAGGATTTGGCTTCGATTCCCGCACTGATGATGACAAGGTTGTCAGGATTGTGTATGCGCTGGACCGCTATGGTCATCAAACTCCTCCTCCGGAGGTTGTCATTTTCAGTCTGAGCACAGGCAGATGGCGGAACATCAGCCATTTAGGTCTTAAACATATCATCCTGTGGATGGCTCCCCAGGCTTTTCTGAATGGGGCTGCACATTGGCTTGCTAACAATGGGACAGAAAAGAGCTACGTGATCGTGTCATTCCACATGGGTGATGAGGTGTTTGGCGAAATTAAGGTGCCCGATGGTGTAGATAATGCCAACCGGCTGCTAGGAGACCGTGTTGATAAGTATCAAGAATCGCTTTCTCTGATCCATATCGTGGATACTGGTGACAAATTTATTTGTTGCATATGGGTGATGAAGGAGTATGGCATGCCAGAGTCTTGGACTCGACTATTTAATATTAATTTAAGTGGAGTATTAGGCAATCGCGTAGTTGGCTTTACAAGGAATGGCGAAGTTCTATTTGGAAGAAAATCTGGGCATCTCTTAGCTTATGATCCCGAAGCCAAAAAAGTAACGCATATTCATTTTCGTGGATCAACAGGCTCATGGGTTATGGATTCATTTTATGCTGATGTTTATACCGAGAGCCTAGTTTTAGTCACTTGTAAGGAGTCAAAACCAAACAAGAAAGGGAAAGAACAGGCAAGATGCATGTTTTTACCTACTTTTACCTCTTATATATTTTTTTTTGGGGGAAGTCTTTACCTCTTATATTTGCTATTGCTAAGTTCTGTTGTTACTTAACTTACAATTACTGTTTGATATTCATCTTTTGAGGAGTTACAGTTATTGTTGATGTTGATATCTTTTTGTGCCTGACGTGCAAAGAATTCTTTCAGGGGTGGAAAATCAAATTGAGGAAGCCATTGAAGGTGAAGAACTGTTGAAAGACTGGAAGTGGCATAGTGAACTCTTTCCCTGTTTTTTCTGTTACTTTTACTTCGCGAGTGGTACATAATGTTGTAGAACTGTTGAAAGAGTGGAATTGGCATATTTATGTAGTTAGAGCTTTTGAAGATACGGCTTTAGATGTTCTGCATAAAGTATTTGTTATCCATTATTCCTTATCTTTTGGTGCCACTTTATCTTCTAAATTTTGTTTTGGGTATGGACCACATTATATTATATGAATTAAGTTGTCAAAAGCAGCTTCTTTAGGTAGAGTGGCTGGATGTTGTGCCAAGCATTTAGAAGTCACTAGCCGGTGATATTTTGTAGGAAATCATAGAGTTTTCTTTTTTTGCTCGGATTATTCTAGCCAAGGTTAAGGTTGGCTCGTTTCGCTTGATAGCCAATCTCAAGTTCAAACTTGAGCTCAATAAATGAGCGATGTTCACTAGTCTTAACGAGTAATAAATCTTTTTTTCTTTCCCCTTTAAATATTCTCCAATAAGTAGGTCCAATTCTTATAGTTTCTTTAGTGCAACATGATATTAAAAACTTCTAAAATAATGAATTCAATGCAGTTAATATTGTAATAAATTAACTAATAATATATGTAAATGAATATAATCTCTGTTTTTCTGATCAGTTTCTTGACATCTCACAACCCTTCACTCTATTATATTTATGTGTGTGTGTTTTATATATACATGAACAAGAATAGTGATATACATACAAAATATCAAATTTTTGCTCCTTATATGTTGATATACATGTTCCTAATCGTAGTATTTTGCTCTTTTGGGTTGGTTCATATGTTATTGTTTCACTTATTTGGAGACATTGATGCTCATGTACATTAACTGTTTGATTAAATGTTTGTATGATCTAATTTTTGAGGAATTTGATATAATATGAGGATTTTGGATTTGCTTATGTTGTATTTTGATCATTTATGGACTTTTTGAGGCTGTTGTATATGTTCTTTGTGGTTTTGTATCATGAATTTGATGTTTGGGAATACAGGGAATTGGGTAGTTGCTGGAAATTGTGACTGGCCAAAATGGACCGGTACGTCGAATATTTCTGAATGTGGTAGAAAATTAATTTGAGGTTATTCTGTGATCTGTTTTTTTAGGATGCTGGCATTTTTATTTTAAGTTTGATGATATTTGTATAGACTTGCTAGTATTATCAAGAAACAGGTCATATTAATGATATTATTAACTCAAATAACAAGACAAAAAATGTCTATGACACACTGAAAGGAAAAAAAGAAAAAAAAGGAAGCATGAAAAAAAAAATAACACCACTTACGTTGCATCTTTCAATGAATATACTATATAGTAGCTGATTAGTTACGGTTGTACATGTGAACATGAGTGCACTTGGAATAGCAAGTTAGTTAATTTCCTATCATGTCGGATATCTAGACAACAATCCGAGGTGCTAGCATTGACGATCAATTTATGCACAGCTCAGGCTCAACTACATGAGCTTTGACGGCTTTAATTAGCATAGTACACCATCATAATTTAATTAACATTTTCGATCTCATTTAATAAGCAAGCCAAACTTGAATAAACCTTGCTTGACTCGTTAAACTCACAATCAAATTTATAGACGGATGGATAATCATGAGCAGACTCATTAAGACTAGTAAACATGACTCATTTATTGAGCTCAATGTTTCAACTAGAGATTGGTTAGAAAGTGAAAGAAACTAGCTATGATTTCCAACAAAATACACCAACCAATGCTAATTATCAAATTTCTGAGGACAAACAATTTCATGCAGCATGAGCAGATCCAACAGCCTCTTAACAGAAAAAATAATGCTAATTATATTTCATTTTCTGCTTGGTTGATATCACCATTTAGCTCCACAACAATAGAGCACCCAAAAAGAACCTTAACTACCTAATTTGCCCTGAAAAATACATTTTAAGCAAAGTTAGAGGTGGTTAGTAAAAATACACCAAAACAAAAAACTATGAATTCTTTTCTCAATCTATCTTATCCAACCTGAGCCACAACTCATGCATCTCAGTAGTTCCCATGAATTTCTATATGGTAAGCCATGCATCTGGTTTTCTACACTGCTGGAATGCCTTCGCAATCTAGCAATCTGGGAGAGTGGGAGGTCAAGCTTGTTCACCATGTCCTAGTTGAAACTAGAAGTTATGACTCAGAAGATAGGCATCAAACAAATATTTTAGGATAGTCGGTAGCTGCAATGGGGTGGTATGCCTTTCCAATGATAAGTTCTTTTACGGTAACAATATTTACCTATGGAACCCGTCCATTCAAAAGACAATGGCCCTTCCGCGCCCTCGTACCAGTGCTCGTATGCATAGCATCGGATTTGGCTTCGATTCCCGGACTGATGACTACAAGGTTGTCAGGATTGTGTATATGCCGGACGATTATCCGAAGGTTGAAATTTTCAGTCTGAGCACAGGCAGATGGCAGAACATCAGCCATTTAGGTCTTAAACATATCATCCTGCGGATGGCTCCCCAGGCTTTTCTGAATGGGGCTGCACATTGGCTTGCTGACAATGGGACAGAAAAGAGCCACTTGATCGTGTCATTCCACATGGGTGATGAGGTATTTGGCGAAATTAAGGTGCCCGATTGCATAGTCAATGTCGACTGGCTGCTAGGAGAATCGCTTTCTCTGATCCATATCCTGGATACTGGTGACAAATTTATTTGTTGTATATGGGTGACGAAGGAGTATGGCATGCCAGAGTCTTGGACTCAACTATTTAATTTTAATTTAAGTGGAGTATTAGGCAATCGCGTAGCTGGCTTTACAAGGAATGGCGAAGTTCTATTTGGAAGAAAATCTGGGCATGTCTTAGCTTATGATCCCGAAGCCAAAAAAGTAACGCCAACGCATATTCATTTTCGTGGATCAACAGACTCATGGGTTAGGGATTCATTTTATGCTGATGTTTATACCGAGAGCCTAGTTTTAGTCACTTGTAAGGAGTCACCTGGTTTGTTTGAAAAAATGAGAGACATAAAACAATACGCGGTAAAAAAAGTAAGAGAAAAGAATGAAAAGATAAGCAAAATCAAACAAGAAAGGGAAAGAAACATAAATGATTTGGCATTAGAGAAAAAAAAATGAAAATAGGAGCAAAACCAAACAAGAAATGGAAAGAACAGGCAAGATGCATGTTTTTACTTACTTTTACCTCTTATATTTGCTATTGCTATTGCTATTGCTAAGTTCTGTTATTGCTTAATTTACAATTACTGTTTGATATTCATCTTTTGAGGAGTTACAATTATTGTTGATGTTGATATCTTTTTGTGCCTGATGTGCAAAGAATTCTTTCAGGGGTGGAAAATCAAATTGAGGAAGCCATTGAAGGTGAAGAACTGTTGAAAGACTGAAGTGGCATAGTGAACTCTTTCCCTGTTTTTTCTGTTACTTTTACTTTTAATGGCGGAGAACTGTTGAAAGGGTGGAATTGGTATTTAACTCACCCATGATGCTTTTGAACTTTTAGAGCATTTGGGCTTGATATGGCTTTAGATGTTCTGCAGAAAGTATTTGTTATCCATTATTCCTCATCTTTTGGTGCCACTTTATCTTCTAAATTTTGTTTTGGGTATGAACCACATTATATTATATGAATTAAGTTGTCAAAAATAGCTTCTGTCGTTGGATGTTGTGCCAAGCATTCAGAAGTCACTAGCGGTGATATTTTGTAGGAAATCATAGAGTTTTTCTTTTTGCTCAGATTATGCTAGCCAAGGTTAAGTTTGGCTTGTTTCGCTTGATAGCCAATCTCAAGTTCAAACGTGAGCTCAATAAATGAGCGATGTTCACTAGTCTTGACGAGTACTAAATCTTTTTTTGTTTCCCCTTTAAGTATTCTCCAATAAGTTGGTCCAATTCTTATAGTTTCTTTAGTGCAACATGATATTGAAAACTTCTAAAATAATGAATTCAATGCAGTTAATATTGTAATAAATTAACTAATAATATATGTAAATGAATATAATCTCTGTTTTCCCGATCAGTTTCTTGACACTTCACAACCCTTCAGTCTATTATATTTATGTGTGTGTTTTATATATACATGAACAAGAATCGTGATATATATACAAAATATCAATTTTTGCTCCTTATATGTTGATACACATGTTCCTAAGCCTAGTATTTTGCTCTTTTCGGTTGGTTCATATGTTATTGTTCTTCCTACTGGGACCTTGTGTCTCAACCTACCATTTTGCAGGTGCCATGATCAATTGGAGAATTGGAATTGCCTAGTTTCACTTATTTGGAGACATTTCTGCTCTTGTACATTAACTGTTTGATTAAATGTTTGTATGATGTAATTTTTGAGTAATTTGATATAATATGAGGATTTTGCATTTGCGTGTATTTTGATCATTTATGGACTTTCTGAGGCTGTTGTATATGTTCTTTGTGGTTTTGTATCATGAATTTGATGTTTGGGAATAGCAGGGAATTGGGTAGTCGCTGGAAATTGTGACCGGCCAAAATGGACCGGTCGAATATTTCTGAACGTGGTAGAAAATTATTTAGAGGTTATTATAAAAGGAAAAAATAAAAAAAAGGAAGCATGAAAAAAGAAAAAGAAAAACAAACAACACCAGTACTTGCATTGCATCTTTCAATGAATATATTAGCTGATTAGTTATTGATTTCATCAAAATGCATCACATTTTGAGCCCAATGGTTGAAACTTAAGCATGGTAATAAGGGGCATGAAAATGTAGTCTCATCCCACGAGTCAAAGAAAAAACGTACATAACAATGACATGAACATGACTGCACTTGGAATAGCATTCAAGTTAATTAATTTTCTATCATGTCAGATATCTAGACAATAGTCTTTTCAATAATTCTAGGTGCTAGCGTTGACGATCAATTCATGCACAGTTCAGGTTCAACTACATAAGCTCTAACGGCTTTAATTAGCACAGTACACCATCATAATTTAATTAACATTTTTGACCTCATTTAATAAGCAAGCCAAACTTGAATAAACCTTGCTTGACTAGTTAAACTCACAAACATGTTTATAAACGGATAGATAATCACCAGCAGACTCATTCAGACTACTAAACATGGCTCATTTTTTTTTTTCATTAAATGCGTCACATTTTTTTAGCTCAAATTAGAAGATTAAGAGCACAAAGGTACGAGCAGTTCTAGAAATGGGCATCCACAGACATGGAAACTTACTGATACGGAGTATTTATTTGTGAAAAATGAGATGGTTGAATAATATTACGAACAAACTTTTATGAAGCCAACAGAGGTTATTAAGCAAATCATCACTTTATTAAACTTGAGGATAGTCTTTTCACCAATTAGTGGTGCTAATCCTTCTATGTAGTGGCACATGACCCATAATAGGGGTCAAATAATCTTCTCCATGAGAACTTCCAAAAGCTTCAGACCCTCCATCAAGAACCCACAACCAAACCATCTCAAACCACCCTTTACTACACAAACTTCTCACTACATTGCACCTTTTTCATCAGCACAGACCCAAAATCATGCACCCAAACCATCTGCAATTTCAAGACCCATCTTAACCCATAAGCCACAGCCAATCTCCATTCTTAAGAATCCAGCCCATCAACCACCCTCTTCCCACCATGATTCCCCAGCAAAACGAAGCACAAAGCACAGCATCCCCACCAACAAAACTACTCTTGCTACAAAAAAAGGTGTCATTTTCTGACCATCCCCACAAAGAACCAACTATCAAGCAAACCACCAAGTTTGTGGATGACCACAACAACATCATGGCTGACATTGATCCTCGGAACACACAAGCCTTGATTGATGAAATTTTGGCTAAGGGTTGAGCTGAATGAGTACAAATGCAACTACATCTACAATCACCTCCTTAAGGAAGTGGAGTGGTTACGTGGCCTCATTGGGGATGGCCTTGCAGCTCAAGCCAAAATGAGAGCCAAGATCATAGCACTCTCTGACCAAATCATCGCCTCAAACCACGCAACCCTGCCCCTGCGAAAATGATCTCCTGATCACCATGACAGTAATGATACTGATTCTCCTGATCACCAAGAGGTTATCCCAGCATAGCTTCCACGGAGTGACCACCATCAACCACTAGCAAAGCTCAGTCAAGCCACCACCACCAGCCACCAGAATCATCACATCAGTCTCGAGGATGCTGCTGAACCCAGTTTGAATTTGAATTCAAGACCATCCTTTGGTCCACCAGGTAATGTCCAGCATCCCTTTTCCACAGTTACCCCTCACACTAATACCAACCCTACCACTGACACAGCCCCAATTGTCACATCCACACCACAACCCCCTCGTACCATTGTCCCTACACTTGAATCTCACAAACCCAAATCCTCTCACCCAGTTACAAAACCCAACCAGATTGGTTCCACATCAACTTGGGCCTCTGTCGTCAAATCACACACAACTAGGCATGCATTACCTCCTGTCCAAGTCTCTAAACCTATGAGCCAAACCATTTGTCCACCCGCTGAAATTGAAAATGCAGGTCTATCCCTTATGAAAACAAAACTCCTTGGTTACTTTGTCCACAAGTGCCTCCTATTTGGTATGGTTAGAGACTTATCTACTGAACTATGGGCTGATAAAGGACTACTAGAAGTCACTAGCTCAGAGAAAGGATTATTCAAATTCCATTTCTCTTCAGCTGATCAATGCAATGCCGTTCTTGCTGATGGACCTTGGTTCCTAGCCAATAAACCATTAATCCTTAGCCACTGGGAACCTGCCTTCCAGAAAAAGCTTCACTCTACCATTCCTATGTGGATCAAGCTTTTTGGCTTACCATTTAATTTCTGGATTGATAGTGGACTAGGGTACATCTCTAGCATCCTTGGACAGCCACTTTTCGCAGACTCCATAACAAAAAACATGGAAAAAATAAGATATGCAAAAGTCTGTGTTGACATCAAATGCTACATCCGATTTTCCCCTCGCAGCTCAAGATCCATCTTAGCAATGGTAAAGTTGCCAATGTCCTAGTAGAGTACCAAAACTGTCCAGCCATTTGCTCTCATTGCAAAGTTTTTGGTCACACCAAGAAAACATGTTATCATTCCTTACCCTCAAAAAGGACACCACAGCCCAACCATGAATGGCAAATCGTCCCTTCTGGAAAACAAGCACCTAACCTCAACAATTGCACCCAATCCCCTCCATACTAGCTTTCTTCCTCCACATCCTCACCAAATCCAATCTCACATCACTCAGGACAGAACATCATCACCCATTACTTCAACAACAATGAAGACTTCACCATTGATCTCAGCCCTTACAAACCCACCCAAATGGTCCCTGAAACACCTACTGAACTATCCACTTCCAAGTTACAGTGCACTATTGTCACCCAACCACTTGAACTTCCACCAAATCCACCACATAAACCATCATCATCACTCCAAGTTACTGAACCTGAATCTTCAAACCTTTCTGAGTCCAATTCAATAACAAGCTTACTTGCTGACCTATCTAAACCTAAAACCAAAGAATCAAGCAAGATCAAGAGAAAGCTTTCTAGGAAATGCACAGTAGCACAGAAGAGAAATCTTCTCCCAAGGGGCAGTTTTTTCAACATAATCAAATGGTATCAATAGTCATTTGGAATATAAGGGGCCTCAATTGTCCCTTAAAACAAGCTGAAGTAAAGCAACTTATTTCACAAAATGGGGTAGACATTGCTTCCATCATTGAGACCAAAGTCAATTTAATCAATATTGACAGAATTCACAAATTCATTGCTGGTTCTTGGGACATCACCCATAATTACCAATTTTTTGACCTTGGCAGAATTTGGATCCTTTGGAATCCATCCTCAATCAATATTCAGGTGTTACAGAAATCAAGGCAAGCAATTCACCGTCGTGTAACCATTCTGAGCTGCAGAACAACTTTCTACATCTCATTCATCTATGCAGCAAATGATCCCTTTAAGAGAATCAGCCTTTGGACAGATATTGAAAGGCACTCTTCAACCCTCTCGTCTCTCCCATGGATCCTTGGAGGAGATTTAATACAATCAAAGTTGTTTCAGAAAACCACGGTGGCTCAAAGAAAACTTCCAAAGCAATGCTTGATTTCAAGACCTGCTTTCACCACTCCAATCTTGAGGACTTGAACTACTCAGGAATCTTCCATTCATGGTCAAACAAAAGCCCTGGAGTCTGCAACATATCCAAGAAGTTGGACATAGTTCTCATTAATGAATCTTGGAGCCAATCATTTCCCCTTTCCCATTGTGTTTTCCTCCTACTTGGAATTTCAGATCATTCACCAATGATCATCAAGCTTGGTAATCCGAGGCCTTCAAGGAAGGTCCTTTTCAGGTTCTTTAATTGTTGGAGCTCTAATGATGATTTCTTACCTCTGATCACCGAGCACTGGAAGATTGATGTTCAAGGATTCACCATGTTTTAAGTTGTAGCCAAACTCAAAAACTTTAAGTAACCTCTCAAGTTGAAATTCTCTAAAAACTTTAGTGCCATCAAGAAGGAGATTCAAGCTACTAAAAACCTTCCCTCAGACTGTTAAATCAAACTTGATGCTGCTCCACATGATATTCCATTGAGGAATCTTGAGAAACAGCTCTTGTCATCCTATAACAAGCTTAAATCTGATGAAGCGCAATCTTACCGTCAAAAATCAAGGATTAAATGGCTAAAGGATGGAGACTCCAACACATCTTTCTTCTTTAATTCCATATCCTCAAGAATCAGCAGGAACAAAATTTTATTCATCACTGCAGCTAATGGTGAAGTCCTTGACACTGCTGAAGCCATCAAAAGAGAGGTTGTTTCTCATTTTCAATCCACACTTGGGATGAACCCACACCCGTACCCAGGTATATCTCACTTATCCCCCTTCATTCAACCAACTGTGCCACTGTCTTTTCATGAATCACTTTGCTCTATACCTTCTGATGAGGAGATTCAAATGAGCATGTTTTCCAGCAACACTGACAAGGCTCCTAAGCCTGATGGGTATAATTCTTTCTTCTTTAAGAAAACATGGCCTATCATTGGCAAAGATGTCACTTTGGCAGTCAAAGAGTTCTTCACCTCAAGAAAATTACTTAAGGAAGTGAATTCAACTTACCTATCCCTTGTGCCAAAAAAACCCAACCCAACTTCCATCAATGATTATAGACCCATCTCTTGCTCCTCCACAATTTACAAATGTATTTCAAAACTCTTGGCAAACAAGCTCAAACCCATCTTACCTCACATCATTGGCCCATCTCAGTCTGCATTTATCCAAGATAGGCAAATTGATGATAGCATCCTGCTTGCCCAAGAGCTTCTCAATGGCTACCATAGGCACTCACCCTCACCAAGGTGTGCTCTGAAAATTGATCTCAAAAAGGTTTTTAATTCAGTGTCTTGGGAGTTTCTTTTTGACTTTCTAACTCTGCTGGGCTTTCCTAATACCTATTTGAATTGGCTTCACACTTGTGTCGCCACTCCCACCTACACCATCTCCTTGAATGGTGAGTTCCATGGGTTTTTCAAGGGAATTAAAGTTCTAAGACAAGGGGATCCTCTCTCACCCTTCTTATTTGTCATTGTTATGCAAGTTTTTTCATCTATCACTAACAAGCTCACTAAGGACCAACCTTTTAAATACCATTGGAGATGCAAAAAACTCTCATTGACATACCTCATATTTGCAGATGACTTTATGTTATTCTCATATGCTGACCTAACTTCACTACAAACCCTCAAAAATGCAATCACAACCTTCTCTACACTCTATGGTTTGCAAATTAA